TGGATAAAATTAAGATGAATAAGATGAAGCCAGGTCTTATTTGGCACTTTTTTTTAAACACTAACTCAATTTATAAAGCTTTGTTTTGTGGGGATGCACTTTGCTCTCTTTTTACAACTATATGTGTCTTTCTGATGAGATAACTAATTTATACTCTAGTTTAGTCATAATGATCGCTATTTTCATAACGAGCGCTATTTCAGTGAATGCTGAAAGAAATAATGAAAGTACTTATGCAATTACCAAGAACAGATATCAACCTTAATATACTGTGGTCAGAGATAATGTTAGAGTTGAAATTTTCTCAAGAGAAATTGCTGTTGGAGATATACTTTTGATTGAAGAAGGATAAAATATCCCTGCTGATGGAAGATTACTACAAGCTGATTAAATGAAAGTTGATCTCTCATCTTTAACTGGAGAATCTGAGCCTATAGAACGCTTAGCAGGATCATCTAACCAGAATATAATTGAATCTAAAAACGTTGTTTTAAAAGGCACTAAATGTGTAAGTGGAAGTGGCAAATGTGTTGTTATTGCAGTTGGAAGTAGAACTATTCTTGGACAAATTTCTTATATACTCGTCTCTGATGAATCAGAAGGTTAAGAATAGTAGATAAAAAAAATAGCTTAGCTACTGGTCTTTATAGGACTCATTGTAGGCTCATTGTTAATACTACACTTATTCATTTTTAGTTCTTTTTCTCTTTCTCTAACTATAAATGTTATTGTTGGATTGGTTGTTGCTTTCATTCCTTTCACTCTTCCCACTAAATATAAAGCTTTATAAAACTAGTCTTTATTAAGTTTATAGCAACAAAATATATTAGTGAAATAAAAAGAAGCGCTTGTTAATGCTTACAAAGTAACTTGTATTCTTGCTGATAAGACTGGAACTATTACTATGAATTAACTTACTATTACCCATCTTTTCTATGGTTAAAATTTGTTTAAAACAGCTGAGAATAATTTTGATGAAGGTGAAAATTTCAACCCTGATGACTAAGATTTCTAAAATCTATATAAAAATGCTGCATTGTCTTGTAATGCAAAATTCGTTTTAGAAGGAGATCAAAATAATGTCGATTATTCTACATGCAAAATGCTTGGTGGAGTAAGTGATTAAGCTCTTTTAAGATTTTTACATAGTATAAAGAACGTTGATAACTTTAAAAAGAGCATTCAGTATGCCAAAAATATAGAAGGTAAAGCAGCTAAGTTAGAACTTAACTCAATTAACAAATACAAATTTTCTATTGTTGAAGAAGAAGTAGAAGATAGTCACTATGTTGTTTACTTTGAAGGTGCTGCAGAAAAAATTATCTCACTTTGCTAATTCTACATGAAAAATAATTCTAAA